TGCGTCACGCACATTCAGATATAAGTAACATAGTAATCAAATTAAATATGCAGTGTTCACTATTTAAATACAATATTTATTATAAATATCTTCTTTTATTTTAGAGATTTTATTAAAATTTATTTTTATTTACAAACAAAATTTTCTTTTTATTTATTGTTTATAAATTTGTTTAATTTGGTCAAACATCACTTATAACTCTTTACATTACAAGATGTTGACTATTTACGCGATACGTGATACATTGATGACAACGTAGTTTCGAATGTAAGATATAATAATCAATATAAAAAGTATAAAAATAAATTAAATATGAAATTATGTACTTTATCAGATAAATAAACGTAAATCCCCATTCTTCTAAGAGAAGAATGGGGATTTACGTTTATTTATCTGGTAAAGTACATTATAACATACATTATAAAGTACGTGATAACAGCAGAAAATACGAATTTAATTAAAAAAATCATCTTTATCAATCAATAAATACATAATGTAAACTATAAATAATAATATTTTATCATGCGATATTACATTGAGAAAAATTCGATAAGCGTCGCAAGTGTGTGATTTATCTTTATTCCAGCTTCGAAAACATATATAAACCTGCGAATGCATCTATTCGTTTCATCCTAAGTAACAAATCAGCAAGATGAGTGCTTTAGTTTGTCTTGTACTTATCGCTCTGATATACGGCACAGAAGGTAAAAATTCATGAATTATAAATATTTTAACATATCAGAAAAAAGAAAGATTCAAACAATGTGTATTGTCTAGAGACATCTTTACGTGTTTTTTTTTTTTTTTTAACATATAGGTATATCCCTAAATACGGCTTTATAATGGCTTTATCATGATCGGTTTTTAAATATGCATGTTGTTTGAGAGAGAAACACCAACATGTTTTACTGATAATACGTCTATAAGGCAATTATTTTCCAATATATATATATATATACACACTGCCATCGAAAAGTTTCCAAATGATTTTTGACCGAGTGACCTGAATATTATGCAATTTTAAGTTATATGTCCGGAAACTTTTCGACGGCAGTGTATATGTAAAATTTTTAATTATAACTTAAGTATCCATTAAATAGTATTCATAGTTTCTATAAATATTATAATATCTACTCTATTATTGTACTCGACTCATTCATAAATTTTTAATATTAATAGTTTCATTTTTGCCAATTTAATTATGTAAACTAATTTAGGAAAATACATGCATTTCCTTATATTCTCAAAATATATTTTAACATTAAAAATTAATGTGTCGCGATTAATAAAACTTATGGTAAATAAAGAAAATTTTATTTTTAGTAAATAATCTATAACTTTCCTGAGTTTATTAGCCATAAAGTTTATATTTAATTGTTATTGTTTAAAAATGTGTATACATATAGTAATGTAAAATATTGTTTGCGTGTACGTTAATATTAAATAATTATTTTTATTGACATTTTTATTAACATGAGTATCTTAATATGATTAATTTATTTTTGTCAATAAGGAGTTCCTTATATCATCGGCGGTAAAAATGCTAAAATCGGCGAATTTCCATATCAAGTGTCATTGAAATATAATGACTTCCACAGATGCGGTGGATCTATTATTGATAATTATAACGTATTAACCTCAGCACGTTGTGTTGATGAGTAAGTTAAATATTCTGAATTTATAACAATATATTTAGCAGAATTTAATTCTAAAACTTTCTAGTCTTTTAATTAAAATTAGTCTCTTAGTTGATAATTTTGTCAGCAAAGTATTCTTTATCATTAATTACAATCATAAAATGCATTATTTGTTTGATATATTTTAAGAGTAATTCATAATTAATATATTATTTCTCTATTCACAAAATTTATAGCAGATATTTTCAACATCTATTTTCAACTTTAGATATCCAAAAATATTATATATGCTCCTTTATTTTTAGTTTAGAAAATTCGGATAATCTAAAAGTCCATGCTGGCACAATCTGGTTGAATATACCAGGAGCAGTTTATGATGTAGAAAGTGTAAGCGTCAACTCTAAATACGACAACAAGTTACTCATTAATGACGTCGCTTTAGTTCACCTTAAAAATCCTATCAGGTACAACAGATTAGTGCAACCGATAAATCTTACGACATCTGATGAAGGATTCGACAACAAGCCGTGCACATTAATCGGATGGGGAACTACTTCGGTAATATTAAACACACGATACACAAAAGTTTTGTAGTTATATACAATATATCCAAGAATCAGACGTCCTCTTTTAGAAAAACTCCTTCTTTTAGTTACTTTTTCTTTGTATATATAATAAAACATTAAAAGTAATAAATAAGAAGACATTTTAATAACAATAATTCGCTTGATGTCATGTGACAGTTAATTATTAATATAATGCAATTTTTTTTAGGTTGAAGGAAGTACTTCAAATAGCTTGCAAAAAATTAAGTTAATAGTTTATCCGCAAGAAAAGTGCCAGGCAGCACAACCAAAAGTGAGAGATAGCCATATCTGCACTTTGACTACAGAAGGAGAAGGAGCATGCTACGTAAGCAGTTGATTATTAATATCATAAAACAAATCGATACATGTATATTTTTGATAACAATAAAATAATAAATAACATTAAATATTAATAAAATATATTATTATAATTTAAAAATTATTGAGTTTAATTACATCGTTACATGATTACACTTTCACCTTAACACTGAAATAACATCATTTGCAGTAAACAATTTCTTACTATTATATATATGAATACTAGCATTTTATTATTAATTGCATCTTCATTCCAGGGAGATTCTGGTGGACCATTGGTGGCTAATAAATCTCAAATTGGAATCGTTTCCTTTGGTACTCCTTGTGCATTTGGATATCCAGATATTTACACAAGAGTTTCCAGTTTCGTATCGTGGATCAATGCACATTTGAAAAAATAAAGAACATTATTTAATTTGTTTATTACAATACCGTTTTGTCTTACGTGATTTAAAATTTAATTAATAATATGTAATTTTAAAAATTATTTATGCCTTTGTTATTATTTATACTTTTTTATTTATACTTTTTTCATCAGTTAAGGTAATTTGTAAAATGCCGAAAATTTCTAATACTTTGCTAGGGCCCACCCAAAATTACAAATACAAGTATCTGTAAAATTTGGATAAAATATTAAAACTACATGCATATCTTAATAATATAGAACATACGATGGTAAATCAAGAATTGTGTCTTCAGGAACAAAAACGAGATAAGATTATGTTTACTTTTCGAGATTAAATTTATATTTGAGTTCGATAAATTATCATTTCTCATTTCTTGTGCATCTTCCCAATTTTCATTTTTACTCAACTCTTCCTTTTCCTCATCTGATTCTTTTGAATAAATTTCATTTTATTAATTTTTGAGCTTGATTCTTTCTTTACATTAGACACTTCAAAGATGACATCTCGCGCTATTGTTATCTTTCTCTCTTCTTGACTCCATAACCTGTAACCATTTTGTGCATAGCCAACGAAAATCAATTTTTTGCTTCTTTTTTTCACTTCTTCAAAGAATTCAAATTCTTGGCTATACTTTCAAAAATCTGCATTATTTTTAAGTTCAGCTTGCGATATCTGCACTTTGAGTAAAGAAGAAGAAAGAGCATGCTATGTAAGCCGTTGATTATTAATATCATAAAACAAATCGATACATGTATATTTTTGATAACAATAAAATAATAAATAACGTTAAATATTAACAAAATATATTATTATAAGTTAAAAATTATATAATATTAAGTTTAATCGTTTTTTCTTTATATGATTACACTTTCACCTACATGAATTTATTATAACTATTATTTGCAGTAAACAATTTCTCACTATATAAACACTGGCATTTTATTATTAATTGCATCTTTATTCCAGAGAGAATCTGGTATTGATGGCCATAGGAGCTCAAATTGGAATTGTTTCCTTTGGTACTCCCTGCACGTTTGGATATCCAGGCATTTACACAAGAATTTCCAGTTTCATATTTTGGATCGATACACATTTAAAGAAATAAAGAACGTTATTTAATTTATTTATTACAATGCTATTTTATTTTACATAATTTAAAATTTAATTGTTGATATGTAATTTTAAAAATTATTTGTGTTTCTAATATACATTTTTTCCATAAGTTTTAAATAAATTATCAATGCAAATAACAAATCAATTATTTTTTTTATATACAGGGTGTTTCTGCAACCTACACATCAGTAAGTCGTTGCCTATCTGCCTATGGGCAGGAGCACGCTGGTAATGCAGAATAAGATTAGATCGTGAGACAGAGAGAGAGAGAGAGAGAGAGAGAGAGAGAGAGAGAGAGAGTGAGAGTGAGAGTGAGAGAGTCCGGCGGGGAATGAGACAAGAAAAATTAAATTTTATTCTAGTACAGTGTAAAATTCAACAATATTATATAAAATATGTATTTAATAATATTACTTCTATAATTGCAAAATTCATAAATCTGCGTAATATAGTTGTAAATTTATTTATGTAATAAGTTATAAAAAGAATTCTTTGAAATATAAATATTAAAGTGATCTTGTAGTGAGAATAATTAAACCTAGATGATTATATTAGGTGTAATAAAAAGAAATCCATTATTTTTCCAATAGATGGCTTTAGTAATCTGTATCACGCGTAGACGAGATACAGATTACTAAAGCCATCTATTGGAAAAATAATGGATTTCTTTTTATTACACCTAATATATAAATGATTATGTTATTAATTTTAAAGCTTTAGAGTGAACATAAAGTATAAAGTTAAATATTTACAGATAAATTTCACAATCATATGTTCCATTCAAATAAAATTTAGAACTATATCTCTGATTAAAATGACACTTAAAAGTACCAGTTAGTGGACATGATACAATTATTGGACGTAATATGCCTGATAAATACAAAAATTTGTAATTGAGTTACAAATTATATTTATTAAAAAATTTCATGTTACAAAAATATATATTCGTACTGAGAAAAAAATTGCTGTTTAAAAAAAATATTAGTTGATTTAACTAAATGCAGCGGTCGCGGGCCGTTAAACAAATATTTATTAATTTAAACACATAACGTCTTTTATATTACATTAATAATATACATTTTTTATATTACATTTTTATATATTGCATTTATAATATTTTATTAACCTAAATATATAAATACTTAAACTAAATAATCACTACGAAATAATCACTACGAACTAAACGTATTTAATCAAGTTATCAACTTTTTTTCTCAGTGTTTATTCAAAACTGTAGATTTTCAAGAATATATATTCAGAAAAACGTAATAATTATTTTCAGTATTCATATTTATTCAAAGTATTCAAACAAAACGTAAACTAAAAACGGAAAATTAATGTTCTTACAAATAATCTTTGTTTCTTAACTATAACCAATACTTTGACGATTCTAAACGATTAGATAACGCATTGTTAAATCTTGTTTTTCTATTATCTTTAATTCGATATGAAAAAAAACAGACAATTGATGTGTTTGAAGTAAATTAAGTAAACTAAGTAACTAAGATAATTGAAGTGATTGAAATGATAATGATAATTTTGTTATGCGTATATTATTTTCATTCCTTTTATGAATGTGGTCTCTTTGGATATAATGTTAATTAAAAAATTGAATGTAACGGGAACGTATAAATAACTTTATATATAATTTTAAAAAAGGATTTATAAAGTTTAAAGTCTGAATATTATTCTTTTGCCGATTATTGTTTTTACAGATTTCTATTTGCTGTATAATTGATAGTTATGTGCAGATAATGCAGAATGAAAATGATATAAAAAATTATTTTGTAAATATCAATGTCAAATAAAAAATGTTTGTAATCATATTCACAAAAATATTTATTTAAATCAAATGAAAAGTATTTATTCGTTTCTCGAATAAATATTAAAAAGAGTATTTATTGTATTTTTTTTTATTCATTCATTTATATGAATATTGAGTGTTTATCGGATATACTATAATTGGACGAAATGATAAAAATTTTAAATATTAAACTTTTATTAATATATATAATTCTAAATAAATTCGTTGTTTATAAAAATTTAATAATACAAATTTATTTAGAGTCATACATATTAAATGATAATTAATATTTAAAATTTTTGTCATTTAATCAATTAATAACTAATCTTTCATAATGAACGTATTTTTTTAGTCTCTTGTTCGTTTGTTTGATTGCAGTCAGCCATGGTAAGTGGGAATAAATACAAAATAAGACATTTTAAGCGGAAAAATAATCAGTGGTAAAATCAATTTGTTCTTTGTAAATTTATATAAAAATTTAGAAATAATCTCTGATTTTACTTACAGTGATGTAAATCATAACGTAATTAATGTAAATGTTTCCGTAAAAATACCTTAAAAATAAAAAATTTATTTTGCTACATTTATATTGATTTCATATATTTTTAAATATATTTTCTATGTATTTATACGTTTGCTATTAATATTCTGCAACAATATAACAGTATAAATAACACTAATTGTAAGTACAACATATATTTAATAGATTTTAATTCAACATTTAAATATATTATTTCACTGAAATTGAAATTAAATTGATATTTGTAAAGATTGTGTAAAAATACATTTTAAAATATACTTATACAATCAAGTATATGAAGAGTCAACTATAGCAAATAATATCTAATTTTCTATAATGTTATTTTTTCTGTATAACAATACAAATATAATAGAATTTCTTAATTATTCTAATTGTTTAAATGTGTTTAATTTATAGTTTTATACGTCTTTGAATTAGCTTCTTTATTATAATACATTTTTATGACTTCTATTATGTTTCACAGAAATAGAGAATAATTAATTAGAATATAAGTAATCAATAACAATAATTCATATTTTTTAATTATTTTATTAAAAATTAGATATTATTATTGAGATTAAAGTGATTGAATCTTTGTCGTAATATAACTGTTTCCAAAAACGTCACATTTTCTATTTGATCTTATGTTTAAAAAAGTAATTAAAAACTATTATTTTATTATTATAACTTGCAAAATCTTTGATATAAATATATAATATAATGTAATCATAAAAAAAACATTTAAATGAAAGTTTATCACAAAAATTATATGTTAAAAATTTGTTTAGCTGAAGATTCCTACATCGTCGGTGGAATTAATGCTTTAGATGGAGCTCATCCTTATAGTGTCTCTGAGACAAAATAACGGTCATTTTTGTGGGGGATCCATTATCTCAAAACGTTATATTCTCACCGCGGGTCACTGTCTTATCAAGTGAGTATTTCTTTTGCACAGCATGCAAAATATCTCCATAGCAAAGGATCACATTTACATCACAATTAATAGAGTCAAAATAGTCAGGAAGAAGTTATGATGTCATAACTTCTTCCTGTAAGATTGTCATAATAAAATGACACATGTTACAAAGACATTCGCACATCACCATGACATTGCTATAACATCATATTTGATAAAGCGGACACTCGTACATCACCATGACGTAACCATGATTGTTGTGATGTAGGTAACTATGATAATTTTTGCTATGGGAGTAAGATTTAAAAATCCTGTGCTAAATCCTAAAACACTACAATATTTAATTTAACTAATGCTTTATTATTAGCATTTCTTATTATTTCGATTTTTCAAATATTCTTGGAAAATTTTTAGATATGTAAATATTTAAATTCATCATTTTTCGGCCATATTTACATTTCTTATTTTTTATTAATGTTAACTAATTAAATTTAATTTAAACAATTGCAAACCAATATTAATTTCTTATTTATATAATACAATATATAATTCTTATAATTTATAATTTTTTTATGTAATACAGATTTACCGATTCAAAAAGTCTCAAAAACGTAACAGTTCATGCTGGCACGAATCGTTTAAGTGAATCCGGTTATATTTACATTCCTGAAGAAGCCATTGTCCATCCTGATTATGATCCTAATTTACTATTCAACGATATTGGTTTGCTCCGCCTGAAAACGGATATACAATACAATAAATTGGTGCAACCAATCTCTACCGCAAAGATGAATTCTGTTTTGGTTGGCGATGCTTGCTTCTTGATAGGATGGGGAACACTAAGGGTAAAAGAAATAACAAGCTATACCTTAATAAGTAATCGACAGATTTCTTTACATTTGTTGAACAGTATAGATATTATATAAAGTATTACTACTAGTCAGATCATTATATCGCTAAATATGAAATATAAAAGTAAATTACGATGAAAAAATCTATACCAATGTCTTTTAGGATTTTATATCAAAATATATATCTCTTCATTTTTTCTTATATTTCTTCGAATATTTTTACAGTATTTAGGCGAACTTCCTGATAAGCTTCAAAAAGTTAATCTGAAAGTTTACTCACAATCAAAATGCAAATATTCTTGAGTGTGAGGTCCAGTCAAATTTGTGCATTTTCACAATTTGGACAAGGAGCGTGTCATGTGAGTATGGATAATTGATCTTAATTAAACACATAATATATTGATTAAATAATTTTATAAACAAGCAGTTATTAAAAAAATGATTAATTGCACAAACTTCTAAAAAATTCAATGAATCAATACCTTAGTTAATTTACTATTTTATTTCATGCAAGTTCTATAAGTATGTGCATATGTGTTGTTTACATTTTTATTATAAATTCTATATTTTTAAAATATATATTAGCAATTATTCTCTTGTGGTAGCATTGCAGTCAATCATTTCTAACAAATGTCTTTTTTAGGGTGATTCTGGTAGCCCGCTCGTCGCCAATGGTATTCAAATTGGTCTTTCTTCATATGTTCGACCATGTGCTAAAGGATTTCCGGACGTGTATACTAGAGTATTTTCTTTTGCGAATTAGCTTGCCCAGTATATCAGTGTTTAAAGTATATCAACATATCAGTATCTGAATAATAAAATGAAATAACTGTATCACTTTATTATCTATAAAATTAAATTATTACATTAAGAAATATTTTAATGTTTTAAAAAACATCTATAAATATTCTTCATTCAAATTTGTTTTTACAATATGTTATAAAATGACAAACATTTTGATCAGAGAGAGAAAGAGAGAAATAATATAATATGTCACACAAATATTTATTAATATTGTAATCATATCTGCGTTAATCTTATATTTAAAGACTTATATTTAAAGAGCGGTGTAATGTGGATTTGATGATTAAAATTATTATATACGGATTATTAATATTGTAAAAAAGACAAAATATAATATAAAATTCATAAGCATCATTAAGGATGATTAGTACTTATTTTTGAAATATTAGAAAATATTACAAAAATTTTACAGATTATTCTTATATATATTCGAAGACTTATAACAAAATCCGAAGTTTTATTGAAGCAATTTAAATAAAGTTATAAGTTTTAATTTAAAACCTTTTTTTAATTTTGCCTTTTTGTAATTTAATGTTTTTTTACAACATAAATGCAAATAGTTATTTTCGTATTTCTGCTTACTGAACACGAATCTATTAAAAAATGTAAAAAACTAGTTTTATAAAAAATAATATAATATCTATTTATTAATTGCAAAATTGATTATTACTAACAATAAATTATACCAAAGTCTCAATAAATTACAAGATTTTTTCAATATTAAGAATAGACATCGTCGTTGTCGCGTGCAACTTTAAAATTCAAGAAATTACTTTAAATAATTTATTTTACGTAGATACATATTAAATACGCAACAAAATATTTGTGCTCTCTCTCTCTCTCTCTCTCTCTCTCTCTCTCTCATGTATGTTCAATATTAATTTATTACAAAGAAATTAACAAATTAGAATATATGTTTCTACGAAAATATTATTTGTGTACATTTATAAGGAACATTTTTTAAAAATTTAGTCTTGTTTATCTTCTCTTCCAAAAGAAACATATACTGTTCACTAAAAATCAAATATCAAATGTAATATCTATACATCTTAAATATGAATATATTTATTAAAAACAACTTCTTCTGTTATATAAAGATATATAAAAATTTATAAATGCTTTTACGATTAATTTACTGTAACTGCTACACATTATTATAAAATTTAATGAAATTATATAAACAAATTCCTGATTAATAATGGGTTTTGCCATTAATATAGTTTGTATATATAACAGATATAAATGTCGTAAATAACAACGTTAATTTGTGCATATTTCCTATCGATACACTTAGATAAATTAAAGTATCAAGTGATTTCAATCTATGATATATATTGAAGAATATAAATTGAAGATAACTTGTTCAACGTACCATAGTGCTTATCGCCATGAATGCTGTCACTGGTTTTATAATCGCATGTCTAACGTTTACCACCTACGGTAAGTAGTATTGTATTTATAATAACATTATAATAACATTATATAATCTTTTTATCGCGCGCGTTATACATTCCAGATAAGTTTCAAAAAATTTTCATACCTAACTTTACTTTCTAGAATTCTAAATTCTTCTTTCTAACAGTCTAACTCATAATTGTAATGATTATTTAATAAAATTTAGTACTTCTAGTAATGCAAGTCCAAGATATTAAAAATTTTAGAAAAATTCGCATTTTGCATGTTGTGTTTAATATTATTAATTCTTTTAAATATAAGAACAAAGATAAATGATTTATGTAACAGTCGGTCCCGAACTGATATCTTTAGCGAAAACAAATGTAAAAATTCTTTTAATCGATAGGTTTGCCACATCCGCAAATTGTCGGTGGCAATGACGCTCTGGATGGCGCATATCCTTATCAGGTGTCATTGAGAAATAATTTGACATTAGATTCTTTATCTCATTTTTGTGGTGGAGCCATTATAAGCGAACATTACATTATTACTACTGCCCAATGTATTAATCAGTATGTACATTCTTGTTCAAATATTTTTAATTATAATTGATTTGAATAATTGTGTCAAATAAATAAAGATTTTTATAAAATTACATAGATTAATAATATTTTTCAAAAATCGACTAGTAATGTAAAATTTTCAGCTCCTAGTACATACAACAAAATACATATTCTATTCATGCATTTCGATATGTTAGTTATCTAAAGTATGATAATTATCTAAATGCAAGTAATAACAATCAAAGAGAGGATTTTTTTAAATCATCCAAAAAAATTATAAAACAATTTTTAGCAAAATTGAAAATAAACGAATTTACTTTATATTTTATAATACGAGAATTATAAAAAACAAACCTTTATTGCCCTTTATACCAGTATTTCCTTAAGCATTTGTATCATTAAATTTGAATCAAATATTAATTATCATTGTATGAACCATTAGATTCGAGAATCCTTACAACGTTTATGCTGTCGTTGGAAGTAATTGCCTTAACACAACTGATGCAGTCGTATATCAAGTAAAAAACTTGATAATACACGCTGGTTTCAATAATTTGCTACGTGTTCATGATATTGGTTTAATTCAAGTATCAAGCAATATCATATTTAATAAAAATGTTCAGCCGATTGTTTTGTCAACTACTGATCGCAATTTCGATGATTATCCTCTCTTAATCACTGGCTGGGGAGATCTTTGGGTAAATTTGAAAACATTATAAATTCTTTGCTATTTTTCTTTTTCCAAATCATTTCTTTAGTTGATGTAAAATTCAAAAAATGAATTTCTTTAAATAACGTTTTATAAAAAACATCAATATAACAGTATTAATTTATAACTAGTTCAGAATTAAATGTATTTTAGATTACATGTCTATTAAAATAAGCATTAAAAGGTCATAATTTACTTTAGAAATATTATATCTTATATTCAATCTTAAATAAAGAACACTTATTTTAAAATATATGTATAAAAGAGAAGTTAAAAAAATAGTAATAAATATATGATAAATTCTGTTCTAATAGGAAAAGAAATAGTAAATAAATATAAAGTTATCTAAAACAATACTTACAAATGTAATTTGTATATATTTTTTATATATTCTTTCTGTTAGGAATAAATGCATACTTGCATACTTATATAATAAAACAATTAAAGAAGTTTATATATAAAATATGAAAATAATAATCTATAGAAAAATTATGATATAAAGATATAAATTTAATAAAATATAGTAACTGTAAATAAATTAACAACTTCTTTTAGTCGAGCGGTTTAGCTTTTAATCGCTTGCAAGAAATTATAGTAAGAGGATATTCCCATGAGTTATGCAGCAGATGGACATACGTCAAGCAGACTCATATATGTACCTTTACAATGGAGAATAAAGAATTTTGCCACGTAAGTAATCGTGAAATAAATAGCATATTGCGAAATAAATAGATATCTGTTATAATATAACAAAAAAATAAGTTTATCAAAGAATAATACAATAAAAGTTTATAAAAGAATAATACAATTAACTGCTATCATTTTATCTATAAATTTATATTTAAAAACGAAAATAGAAATGTTTACCGTTTGGATATCTTTCCTTGGAATTCAATAACTTTTATCAAATATTATTATACGCTTTTCTCACAAAATTAGAAAGTTTTAATGTCACTTTTTTGTCGACAAAAATTTAAAATATAATTTATAAAATTATTGCATTCCAACAAATTATACATAAATAAAATTTTCTATCAAGCAATATTAAATAAATTGTTACGATAGGGTGACGCCGGTAGTCCACTCGTTGCTGATGGGATTTTAGTTGGTCTTATGTCGTACAGTTATGGTCCGTGTGGTGCAGGTACTCCCGATGTATCTACCAGAATATCTTCCTATCGATCGTGGATTAAATACTACACAGGGATCTGATACTGTAATAGATCTACATCAAATCGCCATTCCGAAATTTTTTACAATTACATTCATTATTTTAAAACAGCAAAAATCAATGACTAGCAATTTCTGTTTAATAAATTATTACGTAAAGATATAACGTAAAGATATATATAAAATGTTTATTTACAAACAGATTTTATGCATTAAATTTAGATGAAAATTTAAGGAATTCCTCAATACATAAAATAATATTTTCAACAATTTATATAAAATTGGATTTATCTTTCATAAAAATAAATCAAACTAAAACTATAATTATTTAATATTCAAAATTATGTATGTGTAACTATGATTCATTTTAATTCGTACAAAAAGTAGAAAATTATTTTTATATCTATTCAAATACAATTTGTTTATAACCGTAATTTACTATTATATGATTAATAAAAATTCATTCTAAAATGTTCTGTCGTTATCTCTTTTCGAACAATATACCATTCTTTTCATAATACATATCCTTGATAACATATATCCTACGAACATATATGCATTTCTTTATTAGTATAAATATAATAGCCTCTTTTATCTTCTTGTTAGATGGTATAATCTAGTGATTACTTTTAGAATTATTTTTTTATATATCAAATATTTACATCAAATATGATAGAGAACGCCATCACAGTCGAGGTTAAATGTTTCGAATAATACAATATATATTCTCTGCATAAAAAAATGTAGGTTAGTGTAAAATATTGTTTTATATGGATATTGTTCAACATATTCTCTTTCTTTCTATTTTTTACTTTAATTATGTCTTTATTACTTATTAATTATTTATTTATTAAGTAAAAACCAAATTATGATTAAACCGTCTATGTTCTCAAATATTAATAAATCGGAAAATAATCATTAATATACAATATGTTGTTAATAATGATTTTTATTCGGATGTAAAAACACTCCAGTTTATATAAAAAAAATTTAAGTAACTACTCCCGGGAAGAAAATGTTCTTGGGTCAGAAATAGGAAAAATACATAATTCAGGGATTAAAAAAGAAATATTTTTTTAATTCTCTGTATTGTCTAATTATATTATAATATGGGTATATGTATAATTTTACTAAGATTTTTTTGTAAAATAAACAGAAAATATTTCCAGTAATTTTGCATACTTCTTGAAAAAATGCAGATTGCAAAATAGATAGCATATCTATTTTTATACATATGTATCAAACTAATTATATTAATATTGAAAAAGACGCAATAAAAACAATACATATAAAAATTTAAAAGCACAATAAATACCTCAAAGTACCTATTTATCAAAGTCGAATTACTTATTATTCGATCAAACAAATTACTCAGCTTTGACTCACTCCTTAAGAAAGGTTTCACCTTTGTCGGCAATAAAATTACTCAGTGAATTAGCTTTCATGAATTTTTTTAAAAAAATTTGTTATACACAGAATAATATGAGGTTTTGCATAAAATTATGTTATGTTTAAATAGTAAAAAAATATGTTTTAATTAGATGAATACGCATTTTAATGTCTCCAAATGGTAATCGAATTAGGGATCATCTGTAAAACACGTCTCCATGACACAAATAATACTAACTCTGCAAATCATCTGAAATCAAAATTCTTTTCATTTTTATTAATTATATGAGTGTCGCTACAGCATAAGCTAAAATAATATCAATTGTCTGAAATTTGTAAAAATGGTGACATTAAAAAAAAAGTTAATTTTTCTTCTTAAAAATTTGTTACTCTTTTGTAAATCGAATGTTTGTTGCAAAATCATAATTATAGTTTGTACTATGCGCAAAAGTATTAGGATAAGAGGAAAAAAAAATTAAAATATCTTAATCCATTTTTTAGTTATCAGTTCCGTCAGGACGAAAAATGTGATTTTGAGAAAAACGCGTTTAAAATTTTAATTTAACTTTTTCCACATAAAGGATGTTTTTTTAAGCCCGATAGATTTTTTTAAGCCCGATAGAACTTAAAATTGTAAAAACTAACACAAAAATTAAATTATAATCAAAAAATTTTTTTTAGTCGAAAGATCAATGCATGGCATTAACATTTGAAAATGATTTCGGGCATATGGCCACCGCGGCTGTTTAATTTAATTTTTTGTTTTATTTTTTACAATTTCAAATTCTATCGGGCTTAAAAAAACACCCTTTATAACAAGTTTTAGTGCATTTACGATTATTCTGTGATATCAGAGCTATATGACAATCCTTCCTCTTCTTCATATAATTCGTTTTCCATCAATCTCTCTAATCGCCGAGCTGTTCTGACTTCTCTTGATGACTTCTTGATGAGCTGTTCTGACTTCTTTTGACGTACAACGATTTACTTTGCTCACGCGCTAGAAACCCCATGCGTCTTTACGTATTTGAACTCATAACTCAGTCAATATTGCGAATTTTAAAAAATTATTTTACAGGAATAATTTACACACATGTAGAAATCAAAATAAAGAAAAAAAATAAAGAAAAAAATTTTCGATTTTTTTACGCCTGCAAAGGTGAAATCTCCCTTAAAAAGAAATAATTTATTAAATCTCTGAAAATTAGACAATTACAATTAGACAATTTTAAAGAAACAAGCAAATAAATATATACTTTCTACTAAAGTTTGTTTGTAAAGAGAAATAAAAAATTAAAACAAATTTAAAATAATCTATTTTTATAAAAGTAGAATTGTAAATGTTTGAGATGAATTAACTTCAAATAATTTTAACTTGGTTACATTTACTTACATTTAGTGTACATTTTGCTATTTTTTTAAAACATATCTTTTAATTAAATAAAATATATTTTAGTAAATATTTTTCTAAAACGCTTTTGCAGCTATATCATACATTTTTTAAAATATCTTCCGTATTTTATATATTAAACTATTACAATTATGTCTACTACAATTATATGAGAAATAGCTTCTTATATTATTATATACCTTTAAATTTAATTTTGCACACACTGAAAAAAATAATTTTGTAGTTGTATAGCGAAAAATTACATAGATACGAAAAATTAGCTAAATAAATAAATGACTAGCAAGTACTGCGATATTGAATACGTTTTGTGTCTAATCAATATAGATGACAGAGACAGAATTTATATCTGAACTATTTGTTAAATTTATCAAGAAAGTCTCTCTGTAACATTCATTCGGACAACTGTGATTGTTATGATTCATATTTAGCAGTGATTCATATTTGGTTATGATTCATTTTTCTTGCAAATATTGTTAGAATATTATATTATGATTTCCGCGCATATGATACGTAATTTTCTATTAAATACAAAAAACAACCATAATTTTAGCTGAAATAGCAAAATATTTTTTTGCATGCACAAAATATATTTTACTAGATATTATACAATAGTGAGATCCAAAAATCCCGAACGACTAATTATCTTAGAAAGTATCAGTTTATTGAGCTTATCAGTTTGACCTTGGATAAAGTCGTCATTCGATTTTTTTTTTTTTTTTGTTAATGAAATGCTCTATTTTTTATTCCAAATCTAGTAGTTGGTGTTGGAAGCTTTTCAAAAAAGCTACAATAAAGTTCATTGAATACTTTTTGAATTATAAAACTCGAAAGTTACAGTACCGCCATCATTAATTCATTAGGAAATATTATGCAAGATGTCCGACCAATGACTAAAACCTCTTGAATGTTTCAGAGTCATGATCTGGATAACATTTGTTAAGATCAAGGCGATTGTTATTATTCTTATTTTCATTTTTATATAAAAAAATTTATTTTTACGTAAATAATTTATGAATTTACAGAATTCTGAACACATTTTCTATCAAGGTCAAGTAATTAATTTTAAATTGATAGAGATGATTTAACATTAAATTATTTTCTGCAAATGCAATGCGTCTAAAAAAAAAGATATTAAAGATACCAAAAAAGGGCTAAATATTATTTTATAATGTCTTTACATGAAATAATTTGAAAAATAATTCACTTGAATATTCACTTAATAAATTTATGCAATAATATCTTGTTAATACGTCTGGAATCAACATATTTATATTATGTATTAACGTATAAAGTATAATATAAAATATATATAATTATAACATAAAGCAATTGATTCTTTCACAATTTTGAAATTACTTAGTAATCATAAAATAAATAGTGCTGATTCAAGAGAAATTACAGTAAAAAGTACATATCATCCTTGACGATACATTCTGCAAAGATATATACCTCTTTCATTATACCTGCACACGAAGATAACGAGCGAGTCGATAGGCACAAATTGATAATGTCGATCGATAGTTATATAAATTGAAGATAACGCTTTTCGCGAACCTCAGTAAGGATCAATATGTTTTCTATCACAGATCTCATAATCACGTGTCTAATATATCACACCGCTTATGGTAAGTACATATATTTGGGAAAATTTTATTGAGAAATTTTGAAGAGACGTAAATTTTAACAAATTATGAGCCTTAACACAATAAATAATTCGAACATCATAACAGTATATCATAACAGTATTAATAAAATTAATATGGATGTTATATAACTTAATTCTGTCATGTAATTGTCTCATATAATCTAAATAAGCGTTAATAATTACATAAGCGAATTTTACATAAGCGAAAATATCATAACAAATTATTTAAAAATTAGTTCAGCGGATTAAATATTTATTAAACGTAGTAATTTTTATCATAATATTTTTAAAACGACTCATGTTACGCAATCTTGTTACTTTTAAAATTTTATTAAAACATATTACTTACATATACTTATAATTTACTCGGTACTTGTCATATTTTAAAACGGAACTTACATATATTATATAAAAAATAAATGTTAAAATAAAGAAAAAAGTTAAGGAAACAAAATTTCTTAATAGAGTTTAAAATTTATATTTTTAATAAGATATTATAAAGATAAAAAAAACTTTTTCAATCGACAGCTGTGGATACGCAAATCGTAGGCGGCAGAAATGCTTCAACGGGACAATATCCTTATCAAGTATCATTGAAGACGCAAAATGGAAGCCATTTTTGCGGTGGTGCCATCATCCATGAGAAATTTGTTATCACTGCGGCGCACTGCTTATCAGGGTATGGGTGTTTTCCTCTCAATTTTAAAAAGCATTCGATTGTCTATTATTGTCTAATTCTTAATTGAATAATTATTATATTTTCTACAATTTATAATTTTATTAATAAAAGAAAACAAAGCTATTATTATGTATTATTTAAAAGCAAATATAACAGAAATTATAAGGAAATGAGAAAAAAGAATAGTAAAATTGGATCGAAGTTTGCCTGTAAAGAAAACGTTTAAAATCAGTCTATTTTTATATTACTAGGCCTGCTAAATTCGAACATAAAACTTAAAAATTATTTAAAATCCAGAGTTTCTTGAAAATTTTTCTACACATAAAATTTCGTTTTGTAACAAATACCTACATTCTAATAATCAAATAATAAGTAAAAAAAGTGTTCTTTTATTGATGAAGTTTTTAAGAGAGAGAAAAAAAGAGAAAAGGAGAGAGAAAGGGGGGAGAGAGAGGGAGAGGGGGAGGAGAGGGAGGGGGGAGGGGGGAGAAAGAAAGAATTAGTTTAAATTGGAATCGAATCGAATCACAGTGGATTCGATTCGATTCATTTTTGAATCTGAAAGATTAGAACGGAATAAATTTCACTCGCCTATTTTATTTGCTCAACTCTTCCTTGTAGCCTGTTCAGCGTGTTGTACACAGGAACGCGTTAACGCGTAGTAAGAAACGGTGCAATAGCCAAATTAGACTCTGATTAGAGAGAGATTATGTCACGCCTAACGTTGAAGCGTTTTGTGTGCAACAGACCTATCTTCTGCGACCAATTTGCATGCGCGCACTTATTCGTCAGTTATCAATGGATTCTGTTGGCTACGTTGGCTATGTTGAATACGATCTAATACGAATATTTTAAATGACAGTCTAGATCTTTTTAAATAAACGAGAAAATGAGTTTTCAACATATTACCAAAACATTGTTTTTATATACATTTATATCATATTATTAACTTTTCGATATACCTGTACATTCAAAATGAGTTTTTTCAACTTTTTAAGGTCTCTTTTTTAATTGATCAGTGTGTAAAAATTTTCGAATTCAATTCATTTTCAAATCAAATTAAAAAGATTTGATTCAATTCGGCGTAAAGATTTCAGATTTGGTTTGATTCAAGTCTTACCAATGCTTGATTCGCACACCTAAAAAGAATGCTTTACGATCGCTTATTTTTATCAAAATTCTATAGTGTTTTACTTTTAAGCTTTGCAGACTCAAACTTATACTTTTTTCTTGTTTTGCATTTCTTACTTTTTTCTTATTTGCTGTAGCATCTCGCACATTTTCTCTTAATCAAAGACATATAAATAGAAAGAAAATTTATTTATTTGAGGAGGATATAAAAATATGTAAAAATCGACGATAAGAGAAAAAAAATGTGCATTTGATATGTTATAGCAAACGAGGAAAAAAGTATGAAGTATAGCATGAATCCGCAAAGCACAGAACTATAAAATTGTAGAATTTCGATGAAAATAAACAGTTATGTACTTCCCCTCTCTCTCCTTTTTCACACACACACACACACACACACACACACACACACACACACACACACCAAAAAAATAAACATTTCTTTTATTTATATTGTAGTTATTATGTGATTATTAGAATATATGTGTTGCAAAACAAGGCTTTTGTGTATAGAAAAATTGCGTTTTCACAAAGTTCCTCAGATTTTGGATAATTTTAAGTTTCATATTTGAGTATAGCAAGCGTAATAATATAAAGATTGATTTCAAATATTTATAGGCAAGTTTTAATTTCATTTTATCATCTTTTTTGAAGAAGCATGTAACAATTTTCGATATCTAGAAATAAGCGATTTATATTGTTTATATGTAATTAAGATACCTCAGATATATTCAGATATACATTTTTTATAAATAAATTCATATTTAAAAAAAATTATTCTTTTAAATTAGCTTTTGAATTAAATACATGTAAAGTGTTAAATACATGCAAATTTTTACTGATTATTACAGAAAGTCACCAGACGATATTTTCATCGACGTTGGAAGCATTTATCTTAGTAATCCTGAATCTAGATATTTGGCGTACAAACTAATAATACATCCTGATTACAACAAAACTAATATGATGATCATAAATGATATTGGTTTAATTAATATAAAAAACAAAATTAGCTTTACTAATAATACTAAATTAATAAATTTAATATCTTACGACCGTAATTTCGAAGATCTTCGGTTAAATCTTACTGGCTGGGGAAAGCTTAAGGTAAATATAAGAAATATATCTTATATTTCCTTTAAAATCATTTAAAATTATCAGATATAAGGATCTTGTAGCTAAACTAATGTAAATTTGTTGTACTTAAATTGTAATAGATATATATTTGTTGAAGTTTGACGAAAATAAGATAGAAAATAGAATTAGTGCAGTCTAATTCAACGACAAAGAAAACAGGCCTATAGATCTATTTCTATTTAAAAACCAGGACATATATTTAATTAAAAATACTTATTTTTAGGCAGACGGTTTAATACCGGAACAGCTTCAACAAGTAGTAGTGTATGGATTTTCTCAAAAGGAGTGCCCCGAAAAGAACAGTAACTTCACCGATCGATATATATGCACCCTTAATGCGGTTAATCAAGGAGCATGCAATGTAAGTACAATATATCTACAATCGTAAAATAAATTGTATATACGCTTAACTTGTGATCACCTTCCTATAATTTAAAAATGTCATCTCGTTGTTGTTTTCTTCAGATTAAGTTGATATCAAGAAATAAAAGTTCTCTGTCTTTCAAATAATTTATCAGAACTAGTTATTTCTGATATAGAAGCGATCAATTGCTTTACAAAAACAGCTAAATTTGGTTCAAATAATTTATCAATTATTTACGTCATACATTAATATTTAAACTTTAAGCAATAATATGTACATAAAAAGTGGATAATATTATATTAAATACGCTGTCTTTGTAGGGAGATTCCGGTAGTGCTCTTACTTACGAAGGCGACCTAGTTGGCATCTTGTCCTATGGTACTCAGCCATGCGCCAGTGGCTATCCAGATATATTCACCAGAGTATACTATTACAGGAACTGGATTAATGAAACTATTAATGAAAATATTAATAATGCAGGCAGCAACCAACAACTGAATATCATTCTTGGAACTTTTATGACATATTTATGTATTTCATTTATGTAAATATGTACATATATTTTTATTTATGTAAATAGATATATATATTTTATTACATGTGCCTGTGATTAATCATCAATTTTAATAATTAATGAATATTGCATGAAGATAAAAATCAGTACTTAAGAAAAAATTGTATTTTTACTTATGATGAATTGTAATTTATAAAATTGGTCTTTTATTATATGTAATATATATGCATGTGTGCGTGCGTGTGTAAAACATTTTCTGTCATTGCGAGATTATGTTTGCCGAATGTATGATCTGCATAAATGTGCAACAAACTCGGTTGAGCAAAATATATGACGAATTAGCGATAAATCAGCAAACAGATATGTCAAACACATGAAGGCAAATTAACAACAAACTCTAAGCAGGTTTACAATTGCAAAAATATCAGCATTCGTCATGCAAGAATACAATTTACAATTAGTAATATCTGTAAAAAAAACATTTTTTGCTTCTATCGGAACTGATCTTAATTTAACATTCATTTGTCAGTATTGCTGTTGTCAGATCTGCTCTGGCATTGATTGTCTTTAATTTGACACACTTCAGAATATATTTTTCAGATTTAGGACTTTACGAAATTACAGTAAGCCTTGGTTTTACAACTAAATGATTAGCTGGGATATATACAGAACTAAGCACTTAAAATATTATACTTTTATTTAAAACAAATATTATGCAATTTTTTCACTAAATTACAAGTGTCTTTTTTACTTTGACTATTCATAGAAGACCAAAATAACATTCGATATTCCTTAAAAAAAAAACAATATTAAAAAACAAACAATATTAAGAATCTTTATTTTAGAGCGCATATATAATAAACACAATCAATATTAGAAATTTAAAATGCCTATTACGGTCGAAACTGAAGCTTATTGCTTTAAATAATTCAATCTTAAATTACTAATATATACGATATATACTTGCATATATATCATATTGTAGTCTTTTTGAACTGCACGCCGAATTGTTTTTCCGGACTATAAACGTAATTAAAACCACAATTTAATTTATTTTTCGCAATAAATTTATTAATATTTTCAACCTATTAACATCTTTATAATACTTGAAGGTAGCATTAAATTATTAAAATTGCGCTTATCAATTTAATTCGCGATTACTAGTGTGGTTTTAATTGCGTTTATAGTCCGGAAAAACAATTCAGGTCGCGCAGTTCGAAAATACTATAATATGATATATATGCAAGTACATATATAGTGTATATTAGTAATTCAAGATTGAATTATTTAAAGCAATAAAATCCAGCTTCAAACATAATAGGTATTTTAAATTTCTAGTATTAAAAAACAAACTTTCAATTTCAAGTTTTTGTTAGATTTATACGATTCAGATTCATACAAGAAAAAATGAAAAGACAATAGTATGCAAATGAGAGAACATACACATGATACACATTGTGCATATTTTATAATGTAACAAAAACTTAATAAAAATTTGTAAAAACCGTCTAAAAAATGATTAAAAATATGCCAAGTATATTTTATAATATTATACTTTAATACAAAATCATTTTGTAAATAATATATTCAAAAAACGCAATGGAAAGAAGTAAATTATAAATAATGTCCTGAAAAAGAATCATATTATCAATAATATTATTTAAATTATGTAATTTACAAAAAAATCGTAAGAATTTCATTTTCACATTCATAAAATTTATTTTTAGCTGATTTTGTATAGAAAGCCACAAATACAAGTATATGAATCATGATCGAATTTTTACTTTTTCAATTATCAGAATTATCTAAACAGATCATGTTCTTATCAGTATTAATAAAATATGCAAGAGTGTGTGTGTGTGTGTGTGTGTGTGTTAGTTTTCAAGAAATAAATGGATGTCTTTATATGAAATCATTGATGTCAGTATCGGCGTATATTTCCTCTTCTAGATACGGATAAATATACTTAAAATAGTTAAAATAATATTTTAATTTCACTTTTTTCCATTGCCATTATATTTGGTTTTTCACTGGATTTTTTTGTGAATATCATATAAAATAATTACATATAAAAAGACATTAAAAATATACTTAGCGCTATTTTTTCCATTATTAACATCTTTTTTAGATAGATCGTGCATTTATAGACAAATATTTCAGAATGTAATATTAAATAACATCTTTGATAAATTCAAATTAGTTTATCCTTAATAAAAAATTATATTTTAAAATCTGATAATCCTAAAATAAATAATGTTAATTCAACAGAAACTATAAAAAAAGTTACTCATATTATCCTCGGCAACATATTCTGCGAACGTATACACTTTCTTATTATTTGCACACAGATAACGTGGGGTATCAATACACAAATTGATAATGTCGATATAACACTATAAGTTTGTTCCTGTTACTGATACTTTTTATATTCAGCATGTTCGTTTTCTCTTTCTCAACGCCCGAATTTATTTTATTTTAAGTGCAAAAATTTTTGAAGATTTTAAGCAACACGAAGACCTTATGTTTTCTATCATCAGTGATATAATCTTGTATCTAATATATCACATCTACGGTAAGTATATTTGCGAAACTTTCATTAAAAAATTATAAGATGTAAATTTTCACTTATTACGAGTTTTAACGTATCACGAAAAATTTAAATATATATCATAATAATATAGCTCAGGTTGATATTGATAAATACGTAATATTCGGATGTTATTAAAATATTAATAATTGCATTTTACCTTTAAGATATGGATAAGCATTAAACTTTTGTATAAACAAAAGTTTAATGCTTATCCATATCTTAAAAATGACATAACAATTTATTCGACATTTAATTGTTTTAAGAACGATGCGCTTGGCAATCGTGTGTTACTGTAAAAATTTTTTTAATGTATTTATATCCGCAATTCATTCCATGCTTGTTGTATTTCAAATCTATATTATTATATAACAAATAAATATTTAAATAAAAAAAACATTAATATATGTATTAAGAAGTAAAGGTTCGTAGCATACATTTAATAATAGTATTTTTAATAAGATCCTTTAGAAAATCAAAATCTATAATCGATAGGTTTTGCCAGATCTGCAAATCCTAAGCGACAACGATGCTTTGAATGGCGAGTTTCCTTATCAAGTTTCGTTGAAGCTTGTAAATATGGGAAGCATATTTGCGATGGAGCTATCATTCACAAGAAATATGTTATCACTGCGCACTGCTTGGAGGAGTACGTATTTTCTTCTTAGTCTAGAAAATATTCAACTATCTTATTCTTTTAATCGAATAATTATATAATAACAAATAATCGAAATATTATTGCATTTTCTATATTTGTAATTTATAAGAGGACAAAGCTATCACACATACATTACTATTTGAATGGAAATTTAATAGAATGAAATTATGAGAAAAATTTGAAAAAGCATGCAACAATTTTCAATAGCTATAGGTTTATATTGTTTAAGCAATATGTAAAAAAATAAAGATTCCGAAGAAATAAATCATTTCGATCTTTTGGGTCTTTGTAAAAAAATGAATTCGAAAAAAAAAATAAATTTAAAAAAAATGAATTTTTATTAAACATGCAATAAAAAAGATATAAAATTTTAATAAATGATGCACCTCATTATTTATCAAAGTTAAGTTACTTATTATTTGATAAATTTAATTACTCAGTTTTGACTCACTCTTCACAAAAATTAATCTCTAGAAATGGTAAAAACAAGCAGGCAGTAGATATATGTATACCTCCTGAAAAAATTTATTCTTTATTTAAAGAAAATTTATTAAAAATTCAAATAAATTAAAAATAATGTATTGCTACAGAAACAAATCATAAATGTTTTGAGATCAATTTATTAAAAAATTTTAATTTTGATCTTTTTATATTGTGATATTTTTTAACGCACATTCTTTAATCAGCTAAAATGTATTTCAATAAATCTTTTTCTGTTTTTCATAGTAAGTATCTAATTATTATATTTTACTTTCAAAGCTTCACAGAAGAAATAGAAATTTATTAATTACTTCTTTATTGGAAACAAAAAATAGTAGTTATACATATATGTATGTTTATGACAAAGAGAAATTTAAATACGTTTATAATTTTAATATCGAAAATTACAATTTAATTTCAAGAAATATATGTTCCTTAATTTTCTTTTATTAATCTAATTGCTTTTTATGAAAACAAAAGAAAAAAAATTAATTTGTTATCAATACACACAAAAAGTTTCCATATAAAATGTTTCAAAATTTATTCTCGTTAACTTCTTTTAATAGTTTTTTAACGAGAATCTGATGTCAAATTTTATTTTTAAAAAATATGAATATCGTTATTTGTCGTAACTTTTATAAATATTAAAATATATAACAATTTAAAATGTATAATAATTACATATACACAATTATGAATCCTATTGTTATATTATTCTATTTTTTCGAAACAAATCTATTTAATACACCATAATCTTTATTTTGATTCTCTGTCTTTTTCGTTACTGTTTCCTTCTGTTCTTCACGAAGCGTTTCAATCATTTCCTAAAAATAATAATTTATATCATTTAACATTTAATCATTTAACATTTAATTCCAATTTATAAGTATCAAAAATAATTAGTTTAGAATATACACAATGCTTACCCGACGATTTAGGTCTTTCAATATTTTTTTAGTTTTGATTATTTTCGCAGTGCCACCTTTTCCCTTAGCTTTTGTTCGTCGGGGTTCAAAGTTTATTGGTTTTGGCTTAACATACTAAAAAAAATATTGTTAAAAATGTCGAATGTTATAATCATACAAAATAATCTGAATTTAAAATATTTTCGTCTATTTACCAAAAGCTTTTTCTTTGCTTCCACTTTTTCTTTGTACGTAGGTACATCAACTTCAAGTATTTCGGTCGAATCTAGCGTAATTAATTCAGGTTGTATCTTTTCTAGAAGTGCTTTCACTTCCGTCTCTCGTCTTTGAATTTTAGTCTGGAATGGATTAACTTCATGCGCATCATAGTTTGCTTCCGCACTTCCTGGCACCAGAAGTGAAGAAAATTCATTAGCTGTTGAAATTCCCAAGAAATCTTCATAAGGACAAAACCTTACACAGTTCACATTGCGAGCAGTTCTATGTCGCAAATATGGCTTGAAGTCACCAGAAGTTTCTCTAATATAAAAATAAATATATATAGATGATAAAAATTCCTCGATTGTGTACTACTTATTTTATATCAATAAATTACCTATAAACTTCAACCACATTGCCCATTCCAAGTGCGAGCAAACCGCGCTGACTGTAAGACATACGATGAGCGGGTGAACGAAGGTACAAGTGACTCACTGGTCCTGCTAACTGTCTAATATCCCATATCTTCACAGATTTATCTAGAGAACTAGTTGCCATGTAAGTCCCATATGGATGAACAGTGCATGTCATAATTGACTGATGGTGACAAAGCATTTTTGCTAATGGTTTATGAGAATTTGGAGACCACATAGACACTACTCCTTTCGAATTACCCACGCATAGTATCGCATTACTTGGATTTTGCGTCATCACCTATATAAATTAATGATTGTCAGTAAGCAATCTCTAAGATACAACATGAACAGTCTCAAAAATAAATGCAATCTTTTATAAAACTCACAGATATTCTGCCCAAATTGGAGTTATAACGAGCAATTAGCTTGCCTATAGAAATATCCAACCAAGCCATGTGACCATCCTTTGATCCACTGGCAAGTAAAAAATGATATGGTAAAAATTCTAATCTCGTTACACCATTCATTCTTTTCAAGCAATGTAATTCTATTCCCTGATTATCATATACATAAACCCAGTCTTTTTGTGCTACTGCAAACATAGTTTCCAGATGTAGCCATGTAACATCATGCACAGATTCCATTACATTTATTTCACAGGCCAGTTTCTTCGTCACCCAGTCGAAAGCTGCCACGTGACCTTGTTTCCCACCCAAGAGCAAGTGTCTACCATTTCTGGTATATCTAAAGCAGTATGGGCCAAATTGTAAATCCAGTTTGAAACGTTTAGCCGCGCTTGTTATGTCTACATTCTCTGCTATTTGTTTCTGTCGATATTCAGTAGTAACTTCTCCAGGTTCTGCTTCCAAGTAGCCATACTCTTCTGTCAATAATAGTTCTGTCCGAGCAGAAGCTTCTATCTGTTCTTCTATAGCTAGCTCTTTCTGCTTTAATTTTTTTCTCAGTATTTTATTTTTTATTATATCCTTCGTTCTATTTAACTCAAGTCCAGGACCTCTAGAATGTTTCATTAATATTTCTTTTTTAATTGGTATCTTTTTCGAATGTCTTTTACCAATTGGTGTCATTCCGTAATACTTTTTATCCACTAGAAACAATATAAAAATAATTTTATATAATAAAAATGACAACTAAAATAATAACTATGATAAAAATAAGTAATTAAGTTTACTTTAATTGTAATACATGCAAGATTTTTAATTACATTTTCTAGATTTAAAAGTTATTTAAAATAGAAATAATTATGCATCTTTACAATATTAAATTATATGTAAATGACTTTTTGTAAATTTATTGCATTTACATAATTTTTTTATATGTATATTCTATCTAGTAAATGAGAATGGATTAAAATGAATTGAAATTTTATCTATTCAAATATGTATTATATTTTAAATAACAAAAACTTTTTTTATTCAATTGGACTAAATTAGATTCAGTTGGATTTAATTGGATTGAAAAATTATTACGTATTTCCTATTCAGAATTTTGAAGAAGAAGTATACACAAAGTAAAAAGTTGATATTATTTTTAGGTAGAAATTCAATGTGCTTTATTCAATTCACGTAAATGAATAAAAATACATTCAGATTGAAAAGATCTCATTTTAACGTTTGTAAATGCATTACTTCTAAAAATCGAAATCCATTTCAAGCCATTTCGATCCATTCTCTTTTCCTTCTTTCCTTTTCTTTAATTGGCACTTGCACAGCAATCTCGTAGTTGTAATCTGATCATAAACGAGTTGAAACACATAAGATATTCAAATAAAATGTATAAAAACTTTTAATGTATGATGAAATCGTTTAAAGCCGGCCACATTTTTCAAAAATATCCACTCAGACCAAAACAAACATATATTCACTCCGACCGAGCGAACTTTCAATCCATTCTTGTTTACAGAGATATACACGTGAGTTAACCTACTTATAATTATATCAGCGAGAGAAAAAAAACAAAAAGTCAAACAATAAAGGATGATCTCAATGCTCATACCTGATCGTCTCATTGTGATTTTTTATCGTGATCAAATATTAATTTCTACACTAATTTTATTAGGAATCATACAACAGACACAATCAGCGATAAAGTCCAATTATACAGAAATCTGAGAGCAGCCATCTGGCGTTTTTCGTCAAAATCGTCCGTACACTAACGCCAGTATATTCATTTTCGATTTGGGAACTACGTAATTACGTAGTTGGTAAACAGGTCTGGTTCTTTTTGACTGAATTTTGCACCGGTTCATCTTCCTTCCTCCTCTGTCCTCCTGAAGAGAAAAGGAAGAAAGATGAAAGTGCAAGTTCAGTCAAAAAGAACAGGGGATCGATTCTGTATCTTGAAACGAGGTGAAAATTACAAAAGTGAACGAATTTACTAGAATACTAATAATTCATTGGTTACAACATCTAATAAATTTGCTCACTTTTATAATTTTCACCTTGTTTGAAGACACAGAATCGACCTCCAGGCCTAATGAATGCATTGACAATAAAATCACAGTATAATCATATCCAGTAGCGACACTGAACGTCGGCAACTTTGATATATTGTAAATGTTCTTAGGTCACATGATTCACCGCCATGTTGTGAAGTGTAAAGTTATGATACGACAGGCTCTTAAATTTGAATTTCTATCAAGCTTATAATCCTAAGTGTACAAACCGATACATGCGCACTAAAAATTGCAGATTACAAAAAAGTTCACTGTCGCTACTGGGTATGATTATACTGTGATAAAATCGTGATATCGAATACTTGTTATTATTAGGGATTTTAAAAGGTAAAGAAGCAAATTCAGCAAAAGCCTCATTAGGAACAAATCTTTCGATTAGCCTGGCAACACTGCTGCGAGACATTCACGTCATTCGCAGGCTGGTTCACTGGGTTCACATTCGTCGTAGGTCGATCACGATTGGAGCATGCGCTGATACACTCTCGTTCAGCTATTCCGGTTCCCTCCTCTCGCGATCTGTGGGGATGATTGTCATTCATGATTAGTCGCAACGTTCTTGACCGCGGCGAGGTTTACCTATCGCGTTCCCAAGTTTCCACGTACGGTGTTACGTATACGCTTATACCTCGTTGAAAACAGTTAAGTGTTTAATCGTGCACGCTTTCCTTGTTGCTCGCGTGATATTCGGCTTCGTTCGGATTGATCGATCGCGGAGTGAAATTCGCCGCACGCGAAGGACCCATTTGGCGCTTTTTCCACGAGTGCGCGATGTCATTCGTCTCATTTCTCTCCTGATAGTCCTGACATCCGACCCGGCCGTCTTCACAATAATGGGATCTCTGCCGTCCTAATATGCGGTAGGTACGTCGATCAAGGTTTTATGGGAATGGGAGGAAAAGAAAGAGATAGAGAAAAATATGTGTTAACGTGCGCGGCAACTAATATCCGCCGTTCGCGAAACCGCGTGGTAATCGATCACGGTAAAGTTGGCTTCGAATTGTCCGAGATCCGCGCGATTACGGCAGATTATAGCCGTTTCCCTAGAAGGTGGAAAAAAAAGTACAAACGGAGAGGACGGCACAAGTGAAAAAGAAAAGAAACGAGCGCTTAAACGTAATGCAAGCTGCTCCTTCGCGGCAGACATGTCGACGTAATGGCGTCACGGATGTCTTTTGACCGCAGATAAATGCATTCCGCTTTCTTGATTTCAGTTCCGCCGCAACAGCGGATTCCAGCGATGCCTTTCGATACTGTTCCCCGTACAGAATTTTTCACGTGATCGTACTTCATTATAACATTACAACGGTATCATCCTTGATGCGTAACGCTTAATGGATATCCACGCGTATCTATCAATCTATCAGTCTGATATTTTCCAATAAGGTTCAATATATTTCTCACATACTGTAATCAAATTGAGAGAGGAAAAGAGAATAGATATCTTGCATTTCTATCAGTTTTCACGAAAGTTCACTTTAACTGCAGAGATATGCAGGCAAATAGATAATTTTACTCTTGTAGCAGATGAGTAGCTTAAGAGACTTATCTATAGGTTAATCAAATGTGACTGATAAGATCGTCGTGTTTTCAAATCGATGGTCTTACAGTGATCCACATTTAATTTTACAGAGTTATTACAAGTATCGCAAAATAGAGCAGTCAACAAATTAATTTGTCCAATGGAAGTTGTTTGTGTCACATACAGTTTTACAGCCAATATTCATAATTGATTCTTATATTTTAATTCGTCTTAAGTACAGTTTTAATACATATTTTTTTTAGATGAACTTCAACTGTTCATCTTTTCTCTTTTTTTTCCTCCAAAATGAAGAGAAAAGAAGAGAAGATGAACCATACAAAAAAGACGACTAAAAAAAATAGACCTTTAAGATGTTTTAACTAATCATTAGTTGTATTAGCATTTTAAGACATTACTTAATGAGAGAACTTTAATAAATAAATACTCCAGGTATGAAATTTTTATTGTTCTATGAGAGAGTTTAGTGCTCAGATTATTTTAATGTATAGTATTTGCACAAAAGTACTAGAAGGATTAAATATGAAATTGAGATAATGTTATGCTCCATAGATGATATAATGATTATATTTATTAATATTAAAATTTTAAAATAACCGTCTATGAATAATTGTTCAAAATTGCAGTTATAAAACATAGCTTATGATTTCATAATTTTTAATACTATATACTTGCACTATACTTGTCTGTTTCAGATGGTTGTCTTATAATATCAATTATAGTACTCAATCAGTGACGCAATTCGTCAGCATCGTAGCATTAATGAATAGAAGACTTTGCATAAAGGCCTCTTCTACATTTTAACATCCAACTGCGAATTAGCGGTGGAAATGGCAGATGAGTGCAGCGAGGTCAAGTCGGCAGGACCATCCTCGCCAAGGAGTCCTCAGGGCAGCAGCAACAGTGGGAAGCCCAGTAGCCTGCATTCACCTAGGCAACCAAGACGCGTGAAGCTAACTCAGCAACAATTGGACAGCTTGACAAAGGACGAGCTAGCAGCCAAATGGCATGAACAGGACTTGTATGTGGAGTGTCTAGAAGCCCAGTCGGCAGCTCAGGAAGGTACTGAGATCACACGAGTGAGACCACCTCACTCACCACATATCTTAAGCGAATTAACGAATGCCAGGATACAACGATATTTTGTAAGAGACAAGACTCTCGTAGAGACGCTAAGCATAGGGTTCATTAGATCAGTGTTTAGGATATTGTCATTAAGTTGTTTATTAGGCTTAAGGTAATGAGAAAGCTTTAATAAATAAGTACACCAGGTATAAACATAGGAAACTATTTATTGCTCTAATCTGAAAGAGCTTAATATACGTGCGATCAGATTATTTCAATGTATCTGCACAAAAGTACTAGAAAAATTAAATATGAAATTGAGATAATGTTGCGCTTCATATATAATATGGTGATTATATTTATATTAATTTTCAAAACTACATTTGTGAATGTGTATAGTGCGGGTAATTAAAGATTCATATGTATCGTGATGTAAGGCGATAATTCTCAATGTAAATGTGAGCACGGGTGGAGTGACAGCCACATATATGATGTACAAAAAGGGATACATTTAGTCCAAATTTTCTTGTGAGCAATTATATTGTCAGCCATGAAAAAGCCATGATTAACGAGTAAAAGTGAAAATGGCTGAGCTAACAAGTGCTTATGTGTGTCAAGAAGCGTCAATAAGGTTTTTCTGCAAAAAAAAAACCCATGTCTGCTACCAATGTTGTGGAAGACACAGCATTGCTCAAAATGTCATTTCACAAGTGCCCTGTGCAGTGTATCGCGTTTATCTTTGCAGTATAATAATTATGCTGCCAAAAAAAAAATGCAGGAGAGTGTGTGCCGTGCGTGTAATTTGAAATATCGAGTTCTAGTTAACGAGGATGAAATGAAAAGCAGCGTTTATATGATGGCGCTGATTTTACGATTCAGAGGAATAATAAGAGTGGATCCGTGTCACCATTTGGCCTACAAAATACTGCACCTGGGGTGCGTGAAATTTATATTTCGGTGAAGTACGCAATCACATTCGTCGTTATCAATTGGAACATAACTCAATCCCATCTGTCTCCCTTCCCTTGATCTACGTATCCTTAAATATTATCTTATCCTTAATTTTTTTCCAGTTAGAGATAATACAATTAACTGTATTCCTAAATCAATTGTCCTACATATTCTTATTATGAATGCAACTTGTGCATGCATTTATACCTACACCATAATGTCCTGATATCAAATACGAATTTCAAAAGTACATACCTGTGGGTTAAGCCCGGCCAGCGTCTCGTTACGCCAACATCTGTGTCTGCAACAAGTACATGCTTGATTCATACGGAAGAAAAGTAACGTCCACTCTTGGTCTTGGAAGTACAGAGAATCACACAAATGGCACGTCGCAACGACTCCAAAAATCAAAGTATGCGCTAATTAACAATGTCAGTTGTCAGGCAGTCATAGTCACGTACTTATAAAAGTATATTATTTATTTATGCGCACTTAGGTAAAAGCCATAAATATTAATTTTTCCAGTATGCTTACTTCCATCAAAAACTATCATTATAACACATATATATAAATTATACAAGAAATTTTATAAAATTATATAGTCTGATGTTTCAAATATTTAATATCCAATATTGTGATTTATAATTTGTATTCTTAATTAACTTAATTATATAAATGTTGCAAAGAAAATTATTTATAGTTGCAGAAAAAAATTCTTGATATTTTGTGTGTTGTAAATATGTTATAACAAATTTACAATAGAATAAAGTATATATTCTTACATTTCTTCAAAATAATAAATTTTATTCATTAATAATAATTTTGGAAAAAATGTTACTAAATTAGAAAAAAATATTTATTTTTCGTTGAAATATATTTATACAAAGAGTTCACTGTTCACAAAAATTATTAAAGAATTCTTTTTGAATCTAATTAATTTATTTTAGAAAAATAATTTGAAATTCTTACATATAATATAAATAAATAATACAAAATATTACTTAAATTTTAGAATATGGATATTTATATTTACATTTTTAATAATCCAAATATCAAAAATTACATTTATTTAAAGAATTTTTAAAAAAAGTTTTAAAAACATTAAGACAATATAAAATACAATCGTTGGCTAGATATTGAAAAAAAAATAAAATAAAACTTGCAGGCTTAAAATAGAGAACTAATATATGCGCGCGCGCGTATGTGTGTATGTATTACATCTCCTATATGAAATACATATTCCATTATTTCACTGTAATTGTTTTAATGATCAAGAATTATGTATTTTACAAGAAATATTCTTGTAAGATATAAATATAATATACATACTCACAAACATATATGTAATAACTATTGCAATTTTAAGAAACACATAGATTCCATTGAATATTAAAATTCTAGAAGTAGAAAAATTTATAGATTATTCCTTTATAGGTGAGCTAGCTTCATTGAGAGAATCCGAAAACAAATACAGACAACAATATATAGAGGCATCTCACAGGGAGAAGATCTTAGTGAGGAGGCTTGCCTCTAAAGAGCAGGAATTACAAGAATATATTGTATGTAATTATTCTCAGATACATCGAAATTCTAGTACAGTTGATCTTTCAAAATTTATTTCTATATGATCTTATATAAAAAGAATTTTTTTCATTATTAGAATCAAATAACTGAAATGAAAGCCACCCAAGCTCCGTCCACAGCTGCATTAAGGTCCGCTCTATTAGATCCGGCTGTTAATATATTAATACAGAAATTAAGGCAAGAGTTAATAACGACCAAGGGCAAATTAGAGGATACGCAGAATGAACTAAGCGCGTGGAAATTCACGCCGGATAGGTCAGAAAAACTTTATACATTAAATAAAAGACATCGCATGTGTGACAAAAATGTTTTCATTAAATTAAATATTTTATTTACAGTAACACGGGGAAAAGATTAATGGCAAAGTGTAGGTTATTATATCAAGAAAATGAAGAACTTGGTCGTATGATTGCCAGTGGACGTATTGCTAAATTGGAAGGCGAACTTGCTCTGCAAAAGAGTTTTAGTGAGGAAGTGAAAAAGTCACAATCAGGTATCATATTAATTATTCATTAATTTACATTGTTATTAATTTTTACCAAGTAATTATTATAATTATTGCAATTAAAATTGGATTCTGTAATCGAAATATTTCAAATATAATTAATTCATTTTCGTTTAATTTGTTACAGAATTAGATGAGTTTCTGCAGGATTTAGATGAAGACGTAGAGGGTATGCAGAGCACTATTTACTTTTTGCAACAAGAACTGCGCAAAGCACGAGAGTCCGTCACGCTATTGCAACAGGAGAATGCAGCATTAAAGGCAAGTACAAACGAGAATAATTTATCGAATGGTTTATCGCCCCATACGCCGCCAATTAAGAAAGAGGAACAGGAAGAAACTACAGTATCAGATACGAAATCTTCAAAACCGATGGAGGACAGTGATATGTGCAAAGGTGTGAGGACTCCACCGTTAGCGTCGCCCCAGAGTGAGCTTACCAGTGTTGAAAGGACAGAACGTGCGGAGAGAAAACTTAATCAAGCCGATCACAATGATGAGAGTTCCAGCGATTCCGCGGCGTTAATTATTAAGGTTGAGAACGAGGAACTTAGTGATAGGGAAGAAGAACAGGAAGAAAATCGGAACAAACGAATATTAAGAAATAAGAATCACAGTAGGAATAGTGGTAAATCAAATGGGGAGGAGGTGACAACACGAACAACACGGGGTAGGGACAGGATAAAGAGGGAGAAAAGTGCAGCCAGTAGTGATGATGAAAGGACGCACAAGAAGAAACGAAGGGAAAGCATTCTTTCTCTTGATTATAACGAAGCCGATGATGATGCGTTAGTTTTAACTAATGGCGAGACTCTGCAGAGTGATCCCGAATGAATATTGTTTTAGGTTGATTTTGGACAACATTAACTACACGTGTGGTTGAAATTCGCGATATATAATTTGACATCCACTATGTACAAAATTTTTCATCTAAAGCAACACCGGTTGCCTATTTACAAGATATTGTTCGAATAAAAAAAATAATTAGCCATAAAGAAACGTAATTTCAGTACCTGTATTCGTGATAAACTGCAAAGGATAAATATTCACATTGGTCCCTAAAATGACAAACCTGTAAATACTCTTATACCATTAGATCGATATAAAGTTCGTTTACGTGAAGTTACTTGCAAACGACCAAGTTGCGTATTACATTACAAAGATATATCAGACGAAAAATCTGAATAGGTTAATATAATTTATTACAGCCGAATACGCTGTAAGGAAAACTCAAGAACAATCGAATTTTGTTTGTATTTTGTAAATTCATTGTATTAAAACTTTATGTAAAAATCAGCAAAAGCTTTGGTTTATCAGTAAAAGACAGATAATTCGAAAGATATTGTCAAAAATTAATCAAAAACGCCTAACCATATTACGTAAATCAAGTGAATTTTAATATTTTTGAGTATAGAAAGCGAACTGTGAGATTTTCGTATGATTATGTACATACTTAACGGTCTGATGTACATATGTATTTTTGTGCAATATGAGGCATCGACCGCGATTTAATTTTGCTTTTACCGAATAATTGGAAAACATAAAGCATATGACAAAATATACAATATTAGTCTTAATAATGCATATGGATTGATCTCACAGACTGATACATTTAAACTCACATTTTTAATTTTCCTAAACTGAAATTTGTATAGTATTTGATATATTTTATATTATCTATATATGCAAATTTATTTTATATCATCTCCGTAAAAAAAAATGTACTTTCAATTTTATTTGTAGTTTATACTATAAGGAAAGATGGATATCAAAAATACAAATTTGCATTAAAAAAAAGAAAAATGTTATAAGGTAAAATGCATGATATTCCATCCCAAATTTTCTGTATATAGTGCCATTATTATTCTTGTATAGAAAATATTAATAATTTCTGAGATATGAGCGATAAAGAATAAAGTGCTTTTTCTTACGCACATTTTGCAATTAAAGCATGGTGTCTTCTTTTCTTCAAATAATTAAGAACGATTAGAAATAACTTTATATTTCGATAAGAATCCAATTTTGCTTACGCGATGTAGAACGTCCGCGTGTTAGTTTACACTAATCTTATCACTAAAAGTATGCTAACATGAATTGTGAATCTTCAACTGCAAAACATGATTATTAAAGGATTCCTTATTCAGACTGAACATATGTTAATTTTTTTCCATTCCATACTTTTGCATTTAATTATGTAATTGCGTAGTAAATATGTACATTGAAAAAAATAGAAAATTTAAAGACAATTCCCAAACGAGAGAATTAAAAAATAAATAGATAAATCCTAATATCAAATTTAACATATATTTAGAAAATTATTGCACATAAAAAATTTCAATTTTAAAGAGAATGAATATTTTAAAATTTAACTGATTCAATTTATCGATTTGCAATTAAACATCGACATGCACTTTTGAGCCTTCTTTGTTGCTATCCTATCTCATTTTTGCCAAACTTCAAATATATATCGATTTTATTTTAACATTATATATGTATAGTTTCAGCTATAAAAGTTCTTATTTAAGACATTTTTAACTCCGTTTGGAAATGGCACTTTACCGCAAAAACCATCAATATCATGATCCTACACGAATTTCCACTCTCGCCGGTATCGCAGCAGTCGGCGAATAGTTGAGTAAGTTCGTTTGTGGTGTATTCTATTAGTATTTTCCAATGTAGGATAGTGAGGAGTGGTGGTGCAGAACAGTGCAGAACTGTAGAACTGTGGAAAAACAAAATTATACAGACAACCGCAAGATCCGCAAGTAGAATCTTGCAAATCCTGGGAAAGATCGAATCACATCTTCCTGAAAAACAGTTTACGTGTCGCAATTATGTTCGCAGTAAGACGTATTCTGGTCTCCAAATCAATGTAAGCATGACGAAAACCGTCTCCCAAATCGACGCTGTTTTCACATTATGTAATTTCTAACCTGACACGCAACCTCTCGACATGTTTGCAACATTTTTCATGAGTTTAACGAGCAATTGCATTATTGAACTCTTACTCGTTTGATAAACCGATGAATTTTTAATAATTTATGCAAAATCATATGTGTGTAAGTACACTTTCTGTACTTTTTGTATCAACATAGGACTAGCAGTAACGTTTATAGCTGATCGGCGAATTTTCTCTTTCCAAAGAAAAATAACACAAGAGAAATATAGAATTTAAAATAAGAGAATAACTTATTTTTTAATAATGCAAATGAATAATTTTACTGAAAGTGTTTTTCAAAAATTGTTTTAGAATATCCGCTAATTTTTTTTTAATAAAAAAGATCTATAAAGTTATCTAGCACACTTTTCAAGTAGATTGTTTTTTTATATTATATTTTTCATAATTGATCATCTAGAAACAAAAATCGTTTAATTCTGTAAACCTTATAGCAGTAATAACCGTTTTAATTAAAATCATACTGTTCTTGATAAATAAATAAAAATATAGATAAAGATCATGAAAAAATTATACACACATATTTTAAACAGAAAAAAACAAAAGTTTTCAATTCGTAGTGACAGCGAACTTTATTTTACTTATTACTATTTGTTATTTTATATTTATATGTACACATATATACAGTATTTTTTATTTATAACATATACTGTTGTATATACTATATATATATAGTATTTTGATTGTATAATGATATAATCCCTTCTATATAACTAATGCAGCAAGGATGTATTTGCAAGATCGAAGTATTCACTTCCAAATCTGCCATACGATTATAAGGCTCTGGAGCCCATCATATCCGCTGAGATCATGGAGCTCCATCATTCCAAACATCACGCAACCTATATTAACAATCTAAACGTCGCTGAGGAAAAAATGAAGGAGGCAATTGCAAAATGCGACATCAATACACAAATCGCTCTGGGCCCGGTTATCAAGTTCAATGGTGGTGGTCACATCAATCATTCAATCTTTTGGTGCAATCTTTCGCCCTGTGGTGAAAATCCAGATGGTAAATATCACTCTTCAATTACTGTAAAAGAAATACTTGAATAATATTCAAGTCAATTCATTCAGTAATTAAAAAATAATTCTTATAAAATTTTATTTGTACAAAGTTTTTGTCAAGTCAGAGTAAAATTACACAATTAAAAATTGAGATTTCGTTAGTGATTAGATCATTTTGTAATATATAATGATTTTATAAATTTTCAAAGTCACATAAGATTTAAAATTAAAATAAGGAGCAAGTCACTTTAATAAATGGGGACTTAGAAATTGAAGAATTTTTATTTTTTTAGATATAAAAAGAAAAGAAAGAATAAATAGCTGATCAATAGATGTGAATAGTTTTCAATATAGATATTTTATAGATATTTTCTTAGAAAAAAAGAACTTATGTAGTATGTGAGAGATGATTAGGTATAAAACTTTTCAATTTTATGCAATTTTATAATCAGAAGATATACATATATATATATATGATTATAATTCATGCAGATGAATGATATATTGCATATTTTTGCTCAGCTGCCCTTTTGAAGCAAATCAACAAAGACTTTGGTTGTATGGAGGAAATGAAGAAATCCTTATCTCAGATTACCATAGCAATTCAGGGTTCCGGTTGGGGTTGGCTCGGATACGATCAGAAGACCAAGTCGCTGAGGATAGCGACTTGTGCGAATCAAGATCCACTGCAATCCACTACTGGTCTCATTCCTCTCTTCGGTATCGACGTGTGGGAACACGCCTATTATTTACAATATAAGAACGTACGACCTGTTTATGTGGAAGCAATTTTCGACATTATTAACTGGAAGGATGTAAATGCACGCTTCAAAAACGCTATTAATTGTTAAGGCTCAACAAAGTTGTTTAGCATTTAAGTCCATTTTTTTAGATATTAAAGTAATTAATGTGATGTTTCTATTAGGATTGAATGATCATCACGAATACAATCAGTAATTTTCCTATGATTTGTATGTTTTTTTTTCTACACCGTATCCGAAGTGACATAATCGAGTAACAAATAAAACAATGTGAAAATATGTGAATATAAAAATACATTTATTTAGAGTAGTACATTTCCTTATTCTTAATATAGAATATAATATTTTGTATCTTGAAAATGATAAATTAAGGAAATGCGTGATATGAAAACAATATTCTCACATTTTCTATACTTTTTCTTTGCTTTTCAGTTGCTATGAAAAGAAAGTTAAATTATAATGATTTCTAGTCCTAGACAACCTTTTGATAAGTTATACAATTATTTTTATAATACAGGATCATCAATGCAGGATTCAATATATATAATACTAAAGAAACAACTTGATAAAATACATAATCGGTTCGTTTTGCTATAATTCTTTTAAAATATATACTTTCAAAATAAAGTTATTAATGTTTATTCTTTTAAATTGTAAAATTCTATTCAGAAATTGTATTCTATGAACATCGCTGACAGAGAAATTTAACATATTTAAGAATTATAAAGAATTTATCTCATTTATTTGATGAAAACAGAACAAAAGGTACCTATATATGAAAATATAATAAATAGAAAGTGTTAAGGTTTTCTTTCTAAATGCTTTTATATAAAATCAATTTTTCATTAGTTCAAACTATGAAAAATATTATATATATGTGATACTATGAAAAATATTTTATACATGTAAATTATTAATTAATAATTTAGCACACATATAAATATATATATATATATATATATATATATATATACAAATTGGTTAATAATGAGATAGATACAATACACTTGTAAATTGTAAGACACGTATTTATAAAATGACAGTAAAAATAAACAATTATATTATTATTAAATGAAATTATTCTTTTGCATTCAATTAAAAAATATTTTATCGTTTACAAAATTCAACAGAATTAAATTTAAAACCCTCTTCAATCAACAATTTTACAATTTAAATAGAACTTCTTTTAATCGCATTTCAAATTTCCAGATACGATATCATTTCACACAAAGCAGCAATGTATCCCAAAGACAAATGGACCGCGAGAGGAGACGAATCTATGAAAGATCACTTCCGACAAATTACCAGGAAACAAGGTTATGTTTGGGAATCACCAGCTATGATTCATTCGTGTTTCCAGGAAGCGAAACAGAGCACGGACCGTGCCGTTTGCGTGTGCGCGGGAACGGGATTGTGATCTTTATCCTCTGGCCACAAAGAGTGAGAGGATTCAGGGGAAGAACGCGCAGGTCCTTCGCGGTCACTGCTGGTCACTTCGAGTTGAACGTAGGCGCGAGCGGGCGCGGACGGCGGACAGCGTCGTGACAGATCCGTTCGTTCGGAGCAACGTTCGTCACGAAGAGTTGACGACGAGAAACGACGGAGTCGTGAGGCAAAAGGACAGGTGTTACAGACAACAAAGTCTCGCGCCGCGTGCAAGAGACTTCGGATAATCGATCGCAAGCGTCGGGGAAGTCGGGCAACCGAGTCAACCGAGTGGCGTCGCGACGCACGGCGTGCACGCTCGGCGCTCGCCGCTTCCGTGGAACGTGTATCCGTATCGTCGGAGCCAGAGCCAGTATGGCCGTAGAACCTCAGCTGTTTTCACGTCACTGCCTACGTATCTGGTGAGTCGCCTCGACAAGAGGTTTCTTTTTTTTTTCGTCGTTCGCGCGTGCTACTCGCGCTAACTTCTCGCCTTTCTTTCTCTCTTTCTCTCTCTCTCCCACCCTCTCTCACGCAACCAGTCACGCGCGTAACGTGCGTGCGTCATGATCGCGATCGCGCGTCTTTACGAGCACCGTGCGAATGGCCTCGTAAGTATAAAACGCAACATCGCGTCGTATTGCCGCGATGGACAATCATTTATTCAAACGACTCCGTCGACGTTATCGATGGCAAGTGCACGACGTCCCGAGCGTTTTCGAAGAGCTAAAAGATCATTGTCTGTCATTCCGGGATAAAACGTCGGAAATGAATCCGCGCGAATCTCGAGATGAGTGACGAAAGCGAATCGTTCTGTTTTTTTTAATTTTAAAACATATCATACAACTTGTTTTTCAATCATCGAAATTTCTAAATTGTGGCTTCGTGCGAATTGAAAATTTTGGATAGCCAGAGATGCGTGAAACTGGGAAATTTTCTCGAAACATCATCAAACCAAAATTCCGCAATCGAAATTGTGGAAAGGCGAAGTTGGACACGGTAGTTCATATTGATTATCTCGAATCTCCCGCGTTACATTTTTCTAGAAAAAGATTTCTCCTTGTCATAATCGTCACTCATGATTTCGCAACCAGGGATGCGTTCAGGAAAATTTAGTATTATTTTATCTCTGCTCATACCTTGTTAAAAAAGAATACAATGATAGGTATAAAATCTAGGTATACCTGGGTAAAGTTTCTGAACGTAAAGTGCAAAAGAGTGGTTAATCAGTCCAAAGTTCTTGTATACTTTCTCGAATATTCCGAACTATTAGCGTTGCGTCAGGAGTTGAAACGTAAAAATTGAAATTTGTCTTAACGAGAAAAATAAATATATATTTGACGACAAGTCGGCAGATTTATCGCATATCTGTCGTGTAGAAATTTAATAGAAAATAATAATTATTTTTTTCAGTATTAAAAGCACTGATGTTCAATACTTTTAATTTAATATTTTAACCTTCAAAATAAATAATTTTCAGTATTAAATTGAATTTTTATAAAGGAAGAAAAGTGACTAAATCAAAAGTATTTATAACATTGTTTAGAAAAGAGGAAAAAAAAATTCTGTATTTTAAAATTAATTATTTATTACGACAGTATTAAATGTAAGTAATTAACTTAAAGCTAATCACAAATTGCTTGTTTCAAGTTCTCTAAAAGTAGCCTATAGTGTAGATTTTAATTTTGTTATACTATTCGATTATCTCTATTTTAATATTTATTTATAATATTTCTTTTTTTTAGAAGTATTTTAATTCGACTTGTATCACTTTTCCTGATTGAAAACCAATGCATGTTTTTTAGGACACATTTCGCACATAATTTATTAGGTGTTGGAATTAATTCGTAGCGTTTTACAAGTGATGGGAAGTACTTTCATTAATGTATTTTTTAATGCTCATGTGAAATAAATAACATTCTTTCATTAAAAACGCTACGAATTAATTCCAACACCTAATAATTATAACATCTCGAAATCAATATTATATTTTGCATTCAATTATATATAAAGAGAATCATAAGTTACTTAGACATAGATGCCGCCGCAGATTATTTGTGTAGATTAAGATTTTTAGAAATATTTTAAGAAAAATGTTAATTTTTATATAGTAAATATATTTGCATTAAATTGAATTTCATTATATTTGTGGATATATATTTTGTTGAAATAAATAAATAATAAAATAAAATATATTTATATTAATTATATATGTACATATGAAAATGATTTGGAAAATGAAATTTAAATTTTATATGTTGAATATAGACGTGTTCTTCTTTTTTTTCAAAATATGCTTATCTTTCTAAGGTTAAACACATACATATATTTTTTCCTACAGCGAAATTTTTATTTTCATTTTTTATATTAAGGAAAAAACCTGCAGCCTAGATTAATTAATCACAATTTGGGATTCTTTACCTGTCGATTTGGAATGATCGATGATCAAGATAGAATGAATAAAAAAAAAGAGGGAATATTAAAAATCCGATATAAAGGATATATTATTTTTATCGGTACAAAAAGAAAATGGAATAGATTGACATTTACAAGAAAGTGAGAAAAATGATAATTTGTTTAATATTATTATGTAGTATTTTGTATCAGTTACTTTTTCGTCACATCCGTTATTTGATTGATTCATTTATTTCAATAGACAAAATCTTTATATACTAAAAAAAATAGTAAAAAAATACATTTAACGTATATAATTATACGTTAAAACATTATTATTTGCAATATATTTGTTATTTGCAAATTGATAATATTAAATTTTATTCTTATCTTTTATAATTATAAAAACGATCTTAGAATAAAAATTCGATAATGACGCTGTTCTTTGGCATAATTTTTAATCTAATTTTTCATGAAATTTTTGATGAGTTTTGAATTAGATTCTTGAAATTAAATTAATATTTTGTGTAAGCGAAACTCTGTGAGATTTAACCGAAGAATATAATATTGCAGGGACGAACACAAATAACTGAGAATTTCGAGAGGCAATCTATTAATCATAGATTTGATTAAGTTTCAATTGATTTGTCAAATGGAAATGCCGGGCGTTGAACGTATATCAAATTACGATTTATAATTTCCATTAACATAGCTATACTAATCAGCGAATTTTTTTTCTGGATTCTTTTTTCTGGATCATTATCTGAACGAATTTTATGGTTTCTCATAGATTTTTAGATACTGAACACGAATTTGCTTTCTAAGGAAGATGTTAAAAAAAGGTCAGTAAAACTATCGCATCTAAAGTAGTCAACATATACAACAAACATTACTTCTTTTACTTATATCTTTTTGAGCAAAAATTGGCTCTTTTTTTAACATCCTCCGAAAAAGAGTAGATTTTTGTCTAAAAGATAAAAAATGTTTTTTGTAGATTTTTACTCCCTGAATACGAGTGATAAAAAAAGTTATTAAAAAAGTTATATAAAAAATTCATGGCGTTTAAAGAACCCCTCGAAAATTATAAGCAGAAATATTAAAATTTGGATGAATATACATTATGTTTGTGATTAATTTTTGAAGTAAAACTCAAACGCTACGAACTTTTTAATAATTTTATCATATCCAGAAAGTCACAAAATCTACAAAAAAACAATATTTCTTTTACTTACAATATTTCTTTTACTTACTTTTTGGTCAGCAACTTTTTAACGTTCTTCTTTGCCTATCCTGTCACAATTTTGAGAAAAATGGCATCAAAGATGTCAATAATGATTTTGAAGATTTTTGTGACGTTATAACGGCATTAAATTTTTAAAAAATTTCATTAATGTCGTGAAAGTATCAATCGTATCAATTTTTAGCTTTAAAATACATTTTTTTTATTTAAGCCCGTTAAACTTAAAAAATACGTTTATATATTTCCAACTCGATCAATCTATGATTCAAACTGAGATGATACTTCAATATCTCTACCGAAGAATCTGGATGGAGAAATCGAATTTCGAATAGAAAATTTAAACTTCCAATATAGACTCTCAATAGAGAATCTATAACTATTTCCAATTTATTTGAAAATCTCGGTGACAGCAATCCGCGATCAATCTATCATGTCATTCTTATTGTACCTCGACCCGCCCGTTACAGGTCGTCATAGAGTATCACTTCGGATTGACTGAAGCGAAATGGTATGGATATAACGATTTCACTCTGTGGAATACAGAGGTGGGTGATGCACGAAGGGGATTGAAGGGTTCGAAGGTTACGACGGGCAATAAGTAACGTTCTGTTGACGTAAACGAAGTACGAGGGCTAGGGTAGGTCAGTGATCAACATTTCGAATATCGTGACTGCTAATTTGTTGAGTTCGAATAACAATTTCTAAGTTCTCGTAATGGACAAATGGAATTGTTTGTCAACTTGCTCTGCAAATAGCTCTATTTCGCTTCGTGTATAAGTAAGATATAATCTATATACTCTAATCTATAGAATCTATATAATCTATATAATCTATTCATTAACTGTCGATTTCCTCAATTAAATTTAGCTGAAGAAAAGTCTGAATTCTCTGAAGTATCAATGACTCAAGACGATGAATACCTGTATCAGTGTACATATATTAATAAAACAAGAATGAGCAATCTGTTTAGAGAATTGAAAATATTTCATATAATATCTGTTATACTGCTATTTCTTCAATTACGAATTATTGTTTTAAATTTATTGTGATTTTCTCTTAATCCTTTTTGTGGATCGGTGAAGTCATCTTCTTTTATAAACTGCTCACTCAATTTTTATGAAATTTTACCTATGAATAATTTGATAATACTTTATTCAAAACTGAGGTCAAAAATAAAAAAATTAAAATTAAAATTCAATATATGTGTGGCGGATAGAATTTTAAAAAAATTATTTAATCATCATAAGATTTTTTAGGGAGTTTTTTTATTGTAAAGTAACAGTTTCCAATTTTATTTTATTTGAAACTTGTTAGTGCTAATTTCCAAATTGACTTTTTTAATTAAATTCTGATCACGAACCCTCCTTTGTGGAGATTACTATCGTTTTGAAATTTAATATTTTCTGGCTATATTCCAAACTCGAAAAATATCAAAAATCTTCCAAAATTGAATTTCATGCTAATCAGATTTTATGAAATTTAAATTCTGAGAACAGAATCGATTTCAGAGGTCTCAAAAACCTTTAGAAAACAAAATTTTCCATAACTTTATAATATTTCCATAAATATCGGAGAAAACTGGTCTTCAAAGGATTAGTAGAAATATAAATCAGTACCAATATAAATCAGAAATAAAAACGAACTTTGAACCGTACGCCCTTAATCATGAATATATAATTAATAAAGATATGTTCTGCATATTTCAAATCAATTTTTAACGAAGTACTAGGAGAAAGGCAATTTTTCATAAGACTTATTTGATGCGCTATTAAAAATTTGAAAAAATTG